TGGCTGTAGGGAATGCTCTTGGTGCAATGCTTATGATGACAACCCAAAGGAGAAAGATATGAATGTTTGTCTGTGGGCTTGCAATACAGATCTGTAAATATGATTCCATCCTTCACTTGCGTAGCAGTGTCAAGAAATGTGATCTTAGAGTCAGATATTTCATTAGTGAATTTTATTGAGGGATGGGCATCGTTAGCATGTTGAATGAACACATTGAGTTCTTGTTCAGTATTATCCCACTTCATGTCAATATCGTCAACATAAAATCAATGGTCAGTAAAACAGGCGAGACATTTCAGCGTGTGCACTCTTGTTAGCATAACATATTGTGCAGTGATGTGCCAGTCCTTTCGATAACAATCACCTGTGTTAAATCGCCTACAAATAGTGCGACCATCTTTTTGTTGTAACTATTAAAGCCTGAATTTTGATCCTTATATAACTAGCATTGTTTGCACTACGTGACACATTATGGATCTCTTGAATAGCCTTTACTGTAGTACTATCTGGTTTCTGAACAAGATGAAACTCCCTAAGATTAGATATATAAGTACCCCATTTGAATTTTTAAGCGTCTGGCGGTCCCTGTACTCCATATCATAAAGTAAAACACTAGCCCAAACATTGTTAGCTGCTAACCGAAAATAGATTGTATGTAACACAAATAGTGTTGCAGTTCCCCATTTACTAAATTTCCACTACCAAGCATGTCATTCATGATCTCAATACCAACATAACCATATTGTTCAATGGAGACCTGACCAAGTGTCAATTTCTTTGTTAACCCATCTGTACAAATTTGGTTACATTTACCAATGTCAATTACGTGCCTGCTCTCTAAGAAGTCTTAGGGGATTTGGCCAAACAAAGTCTGTTATCTTACGGGCTTTCTTACCTCTTACACCCGAGTTTTGCAGTTGTAACTGATTTATATGTTCTTGGACTTGATCTACCACACCAGAAGATGGCCAGGTAATTATACGTTTACTCATTGATTTTTCCTGTCGAAGACGTTTAATTTCGTATTCAAGGGAATCATATTTTGACTGTAGATCTTTTAACATTTTGGCCATAGCCTTTTCTGGACCATGCACTTTTACCGTTGGCGAGCCCTGCCGCTGGCGACTGAACTGCATCTGGCAATGGGCTAGAAATTACCCTTTCTGCAATAGACGGGGTCTTCAGTGATGCTATGACAGTATCTAGAGGATTGCCTGCTGTTGCCCTACTGCTTCTTCTTGACTTTTTTATGTCCCCACCGTAGCGGAGGTTACATGTTACCCATGTCCGTCCGTCCCGTCTGTCCGTCCCCGAAATTGGTTTCCGTTCTCTAACTTTAGTTTGCCTCAACCAAATATTATAAAACTTATACAAAATACATATTACCATTAAACACAGATCAAATACGAAATTGGGTAGCGTCATTTTTACCGTTCATGAGTTATGCCCCTTTATGAATATAAAAATTGCTAAATCTGTCGTTTCCGTCGTCTAACTTTAGTTCGCTTCAACCAAATATTATAAAACTTATACACAATGCATATTATCACAAAACACAGATCAAGTTCAAAATTTGGTGGCGTCACTTTTACCGTTCATAAGTTATGCCCCTTGTCCCTAATTACAGAAATCAATTAAAAAAAATCAATCTACTAATGAACTCAAAATCATTAACTCATTAATAAAACTAAAAATCAATAAAACTAAAAATCAATATAAAGATCAACATACTAGTGAAATCATAGCGTTCCTTTATTTACATTGAAAATGACGCACAACTAAAATCCCTAACAACAGGACCAACATCGGAAACGTTTTTGTATTTCCGTTTCTTTTTTGACAGATTCTGAAGTTAAAATATGGTTTAATTTAAAAAATAATGTAAACAGACTTCGTCCCCTTTTACAGGTAACGCCTGCCTCATATTAAACATAAAAATTGCTAAATCTGTCGTTTCCGTTCTCTTACTTTAGTTTGCCTCAACCAAATGTTATGAAACTTATACGCAATGCTCATTACCATAAAGCACAGAACAAGTTCGAAATTGGGTGGCGTCACTTTTACCGTTCATGAGTTATGCCCCTTTAAAAGGAAAAAATGCTAAATCTGTCGTTTCCGTTCTCTAACTTTAGTTTGCCTCAACCAAATGTTATGAAACTTGTGTTTATAATCACAAAACAGTCTTAATAACGTGAATCCTGCATCTGTATGTGGAAGTTGACTCATGCGTTTTTACACATTCTCCATTTATTTTATGTTAAATTGTCAATGCAAAAACTGCGCCATGCGGCTGCTTATATCATTTATTTATAACTGCATCTGCCGCTTACATCATTAATCTAATGATTAAACTGAATACCAGATTATAAAAGTTGCAAACGAGAATGGAGTGAGAAGTACCATTTTACATCAAAGTCGGTATTCACTGAATCCCTTATTTCAGTTTATTTATCTACATTTAAATCTCTTGTTGAATAAATACGCCCATACAAGGTGCTAGATTCAACACATTTGTTTGTGAAAGGTAATTATCATAAAATGCTTTGAAATTCTTACTTTCCTATTTCATTTAACTCAAACACTCTAAAACTATTTAAGTCTGACAACTGGAATTTCATTTTGATTTTTCATTTATGTAAATTGCTTTTATTATCTTTTGTATTGCCCTTCATGACAAACTACATTTTAAAATACGATTATGAAAATCATCATGTGTAGATATAAATGATACAAAGCCTTAAAGTTTCTTCGTTCATTTATATTTCGAAGATCTTATTTGAGTAACGGATGTAGCTTACAGGTACTTTAAACTTTTAAATCGATTCCAATGGACACGACGCGTGTTTCTGGTACAGTTTATATATAAAACATAAGCTTGGGGCCAAACGTTTGGAAAGCTAAATACATTAAATGAATGGCATCAATCCAGATGATAGGAACATAGCAGCTTTTTTTCTGAGGGAGCTATAACTTTAGTTTTATTATTCAAATTGTTCGACATGTAAATTATAAATATGTTGAATCGATATTTATTATTCAAATTATGTACACATATTAAGTCAGATAAAAACAATGGACACTGCGAGGATGGTTCTTGGAAATGACGCTGTATCGTACAAATAATACACAATGTAGTTTAATTGTAACATTAATTAATAATTATCGTACTATGATACAGTCAGGAGTCTTCTTCGTCAAATTATCTCCCCATTACGCCAACTTGTTTTCATAATCGTAAAAATGGAAGCCATTGTAGTGATGACGCGCTGTCAATTTAGCTCTTTAAAACCGATCAATTTATCCACATAGCATCATTACGATCCTTACATGCCAGTTGTATCTTAAAATACAAATGTATCTACTAGCTATTGAGCATCATTTAATGTACTTTTATGCATTTGGTCAACTTTAAACTATTGTCTGGTCGGTTGTCAAGGGGAATTTTCGAAAGTTCAAAAATATTTAAAAAAATTTCTAATTAAATATTTCGTTGAAGGGCAGACTAAAATATTCAGAGGTTGAGGACTAAATACCCTAGATAACACACACAAAAAATGAAGTTTTTTTGAAGTTATGCATTTTTAGAATCAACTTGTAAAGTCTGTCGTCAAGTACTTTTCGTAAAAATTTGTAATTCGAACCCACCTACTCTGTTGTTATGGCCCATGAGAAAGATATTTCACGTGACCCATATATTTCATTTCTTAATACTGTAAGTTTTTAATCCTATAGTCTAGATATATAAAGATAATAGAATCTGAAGCGAGATAATGTATTAAATAGTTTTCTTTTAAACGTTTTCAAGACTTTTCAAGACTGAATAGTCAACTCAAACACGCCTGAACATCACAAGGTGTACTCGGCTTTCTCTTTTCGATGACATAATAATCCATTTTGGGGATTTTTTTAAAAAAAAAACCCACTGTCGCCGGGGGCAGAGATGAAAATCAATAGTCTTCTCGGTTTTTGGACATCAATGCCTATGTACGATCTCTTTATATCTATAATCGCATTTATCATGCGTTTCAAAAAAAAAAAACCGCCACATTCAGTTTACCCAAGTGACTTAATTTTAAAGGTATTAACTTGGCTGTATATTTTTCTATTTTGTTGGTTCTCTTTTCTTGAACTTTCCTTGTCTAGGTTAGTGTTCACAGCGGTATTGATGTGTTTCTGTGAGATATACAGCTAGTAGAAAAACAAAAGGAGGTAAATATGTATGCACTTTGTTTGCATTGCAATATTATAAAACTTACGCAAAATCCTTTGATTTTGGTTTCCTTAGTATGTAATATTATAATAAATGATAACATTAACTCCTTAATGTCTGTTTAAGGTAATTGATTTACTATAATTTTTCCAGAACGTTAGTTGTGATTTAATAGTCAATAGCGTCCTTGCAAAGAACTTGCAAAAAACTGTGAAGAGATCTGTTTGAAAGGGAGAAAACTATCTCGTCATCACTGTTTCCTCTGATACTACGAATTACTTCTATACGTTTAAATGCATTTCAGAAGCCTGGGTTGGCCTCCTTTTTAGTTAAAACATTTAATCTTTTGAACGAATAGAGTAACAACCATCTTCATATATAAGTAAGTGTTTTTGACATTAACTTTTCGTTTTATCTTTTTTACTACTCAAATTGATTGGTCATTTGATCAATGCATGACGTGACGTCAATATTTTTTTAATTTGTTACAGTACATCGCATGATGCTATGAAAATATGTTATCAAGAATTAAACAAACATCCTTAATTTAAATATTTTCGCGAAATCATTTGAAACTGATTTTGATAACATTACGTTTAAGTTTTGAACTTTGACATTCATTTATTTTGATGTTTAAATAATACATTCATACTCGCAATACATGGAGTTCATTCTGTGACGCATTTGAATCATAGCTTTAATACATCTATTGACGAAAGTAATGAATAGGAACTATTATATTCAATACATTATACTGTTCACTTTACTGAATAAACTGTAGTATGAAAGGAAAGGTAAAATGAAATTTGTTTTGAATACTCACGACTACCAACATATACCGGACAAGTAAAATCTAATTTGATTTGTTTATCCTCTTTAGAGATACATTTTTCCGTTAACTTTACAAAGCGATCGATTAATATTTCTAAAACCTGTTATTTGTGATTATTCAATACTGAATAGAATTTTGGTTCTATATCTTATCATAAATACTTCCCAATGAAGAAATTGTACAAATATTATTGTTGATATAAATTTTACTATGTTCCATCGGTACTTAGTGTGAAAATTCGGAGACGTGTATAGTCTGCATACAGCGAAAGGAATAGTCCTAAGAAAGAGAATGTCAAAAAACAGAATTGGACAGAATTCAATGGAAACAATCTGGCAGAAATCTCGATGGAGAGAAGCGGTGGATAACCTAAAGAATAATAGCTACACCAATTTCAGCCTTAAAAACGGTTATCCGTCACAACCACCATCATATCGTGAATACGATTCACCAACATTGCCACAACAAAGGGAAGACAGACAACCGTTGACTGCTAACAAAAGAATGAAAGATGTTAGTTGCTGTTTAAAAGCTACAAACTATATCATAGGAATATTCCTATTGATATCGTTTATTCTTTCTACAGTTGGCGCAACGACGTCATATTGGCTCGACACTGGAACCTTAAATGTTGGATTATTCAAGGTCTGTACAAAATCTTCAACCTGCGACCTTGTTTCATCCTTTACGGAATCTGCACCCGCAACAAGTAAGTTTGATGATACAATGGATTTCCAAGTCATTTGAAAATTTGTATTTAAGGGTTTCGTACAAAAAAAAAGATGAAAATCACGACTTTTCAAAACAGGAAAAAACCAATTCCATACGTGTGTTAACAAAATCGAGATCTCATTAAGGACATACGATACAGTTTTGATCCCACGGTGAATTTTTGACGGAAGTTTGCATCCAAGCTATTTTTCACCTAGTTAATTCAAATATGTAATAAAAAATATACCTTCATGTGCTACTTTTAGAGATAAATGGGGTCGAAATTTAAAAAATTTACTGGACATTCCGGTTTCTTGGACATTTCTATCCAATGGAAATGTCTTTGACATACTTAACATTTTTTGTTTCAAAAGATAAACGCAAGCGGAGTTTTGTAAACAAAATCTAGAATATCTTCTTAACATAAGTGTGTTTTGAGTTTGTGTAACAATTCTTTGGAAATAATTCATTTTTATCATATTTTCATGATTTTAGTCAAAAATCGTCATTTTTGGCTGTATAATTATCTAGTTTAAAAGAATTCCATCGGTGATTTGTATATAAAAATTGGCACAAATAATCTTCATACATAATCAAGCCTAATGTCATTTTTAAAAAGAGGGGACCATGAACTCGTTTTCAAGTTAAATAAGTCTGAATGATAAAAATCAGTCGAAAATGCATCTCTTCTCGATATGTCACAGTTTGACGTCTCGAAAAATAACATTTAAGGAATGACTGTAATATTTTTTTCTGTCGATGAAGAAATAACATCAAAAATGTGGTGCACATTGAATAACCCGCGTAGCGGGTTATTTTAAAGTGTGCACCACATTTGTTTTATGTTATTTCGAATAGACAGAAAACAATATTACAGTAATTCCTTAAATGTTATTTTTTGTCGCCAGCAAACATGTTTAACCCCGCCACATTCCTTATGTGCCTGTCCCATGTCAAAAGCCTGTGATTCAGTGGTTGCCGTTGCTGTTAATCATATTTGTTTTTCGTTTATTGTTTTGTACTTGTACATAAATCAGGCCATTAGTTTTCTCGTTTGTGTTTGCATTGTTTTACATTTGTAACTTCTGGGCCTTTGATAGCTCACTATTGGGTATGTGTTTTGCTCATTGTTGAAGGTCGTATGTTGGCCTATAGTTGTTAATTTCTACGTCATTTGTTCTCTGGTGGAGAGTTGTCTCATTGGCAATCATACCACATCTTATTCTTATTTGTGATAAAGATAGAAATAAATTAATTTTCGCCACTTAAGGGAGCGGCTTCATCTCAGATAATGGTATGAACCATAAACTATCATTGGCCTTCAATGCATCAGACCGCTTCAATGGTCTCGTGGTAGCGTGTTCCGTTCTCGAGTGCGGGAGTTCGTGTGTTCGAACCCTGGCCTGTCAAAACAAAACAAAAATGAAATTGGTATTTGCTGCTTCTCCGCTAAGCACGCCGAATGAAGGAGTAAGAGCAGAGAATAGTCGGCTCTGAGTTAGAATAATATGTTCGGGTAGGGTGACATATCTGCCTGCAGACTCAGCGTGCCGATCTAGTTTGAAGCAGGGTCAATGTTTATAGTACTTTAACATGTTCATATTGTATAACTAAAAAGTAAGTAGGGGTTTCCCGATATCCCTCCCCTTTTCCAGTAAAAAAATGTTTGAAATTTGCAATTTTACAACTTAACCGTTTTTTTCAAAAGATTTAGATCTTTTGGTTGAGGACTGAATTTTAAAATATATTTAACAATAAAATGAGAATTCAATCAAGAAAATGGTGTTGTCATTTTATGAGTAGATATATAATAGTGTTAAAAACGTCAAATGTAATATAAAATATTATATTTGACTTTTTTAACACCATTTTCTTGATTGAATTCTCATTTTATAGTTAAATATATCTTAACCCACCCAAACATACTGGGAATACAAGGGTCTAAGCAAATCCCTCACCACGAATGAAAAAACAAAAGAAAACAAATATGGTTCAGATTAAATGTATGAAAACTAAACATAACATATGTTTACGTATTCAGCTGATCACATGACATGCACCTTATGATTGTGGATTTTAGATATTTTAGATATAACACTGTACCGGATAACACCGAAACTTTAAAATATAGGCTTAAATTTTTTAACCTTTCTGAAAAGGTACGGAGTGCCTCCCAGTTTCATATATTACATCAGCCTTTGTTGTTTTGTGTTTATGTAAATAGTTAGGAGAAAAGAAGGAGTTGTTTCAGAAGCTATCATTATTTGCATTATTTCTTTTTCGGATCCATATAGTAGGGATAAGATATATTACTATTGCCGTCTCCCCGAAGACGGTATTAGAAGTTGAATAATGCACAGTCTTTCGGGTTCTACCTCATTGGAAGATAATACTGACAGTAATAAATCTTAGTTCGTTGATTGGTTGGGAAAATTTGACACCTAATAAATGTCTTTCAATCCCGTTTAGTGTCGGATTTGAACTCTTTATTATAGTAATTAAAGTTTGCATTATTATCAATCCTGGTACACAGGATTTATTTGATTTATTTATTGTTCGTTGGTCAATGTCCGCTGGCAAATATTTCATGCATATTCAGGACGAGAACAAATTAACAATAAATACAATAGGTAGATCCTGTAATAGAACCCATCCGTGTATTGGATAGGGACAGAAATTTTGCCGTGCAACCACCCACATACGGACCCCTCTCAGAGATGTGCAAGAGTTTTTAACGTGCAAATTGCGTGGCACTCTCACTACACGAGGCATCGGATTTAACGTCCCCGTTCTGACCGGACGTGGCTGCGTACTTGTACATCCCACACAGCCAAATGGACGCCCCACTTTGCCAAGGGATTTACTGCCCAGTCGGAAGAAGACCAAAATGGACTATATTTCAATTCCCCAGTCACCCTTTGGTTTTGGTACACAGGAACAAATTGTAAACACTTATCCCTATAATGCACAAAACTCCTGCAATGTTGTAATGTTTAAAACGCACACTTGAAGGGGCATTATCTACGAGATATGAAAAAAAAAAAAAAAAATCAAACACGATTTTTTTTTATTCAAACATTAATGAAAGTGATATAGTGAAATAATAATTCGCTTTTAGAAGCCAATTTGGTTCAATTTTGTCAAAATAAGTTTAAAAACATCGCTGATTAATTATTCACTTGCAAGTGAATAATTCGACCTCATTGAATCCGTATTCGTGTGACCTTTCCTGTGATGGGTTACGCATGTATTCAGCTATTAAAAGGAAAAGAATGTCAACATTGAAAGTGAAACAAGGATGAACCGTTTGGTTGACTGATTTGATTCACAAAAAATCCTTCTTATACAGGTAAAAACGATGATAAACTAACTTTTTAACCTATAATATGAAATCAAACAGACCTAGAAAAATCCAATTGCACGTGGTCGCTCTCTGTTTATATTTGTATTTATGTTTATATCGGGGTTTATTACCGTCAACAGTCATCGGAGGTCATCTCGATTGTTAATTAGATGACGTCTAGACAAAAATACGCACGAAATGTTGATACATATTATCGAGCCCATGCATTATTAATTGTTTATTTTACATAAAAATAAGAAGATGTGGTATGATTGCAAATGGAGACAACTCTCAACAACAGACCAAATGACACAGAAATTAAAAACTTTAGGTCACCGTACGGCCTTCAACAGTGAGGAAAGCCCATACCACATACTGTAAACAAGGAAATTTTCGCGGCAGTTTTATTTTCGCTATTTTAGCGGTAAGAATTGAAACGCGAAAATAAGACGACCGCGAAAATTTCAAGGATACTCTATTCATAAGATGAAGACCATTCATGTACGTATATGACAAGGATATGTACAGGACCACTGTATAACACCAATTTTACAGACGACAGATCTATTCCTCAAATCATAACTGTATTTCTAAATGAAAAGCAATGTTAGAAATCATGACTTTAACTCAAATTAATTTTCTTAACATGGAAGACATCTTAGTATATGTAAGAGAATGATAATCCCTTTCTTCATGATTAAGTACGAGCGTTAGCGAGTACTTATCATGAAGTAAGGGATTATCATTCTCTTACAAACTTAGAATATTGTAAAGTGCTCAAGGCTCAAATGATCTCTTGATTGGTTGTATTCAAGAATTAGTGTCTTTGTCAGTGCAATGTTTATAATTGATGCATGACTTCCCTTTTCGGCATTTCATTTATGAATTAGTTTTAGTGATGTTAGGACATTCTTATAACTTGGGAAATATTAAAAAAAAAAATGCGTTATAGACATTAGGTGACAACAGTCCAAAGAAAAGGTAGGAATTGTATATGTTTCCTGATTGTGAGCATGAATTTATATAATGTATTATTTTTGTGAGGAATTATCCTTTTTTTATTTACAGTTTAAATAAATAACTATATTGGAGTTACAACTAATTTTATTTTCACAGCCAATATTTTGGTCCGGCTTCTTAAATCAAATACTATTTCATTATAACAGGGGAATGTTCAAATAAAATGCCTTTAAAAGTTTTAAATATATTCAAAACTTAAATTAAATTCCTTTTTTTTTTAATTTTAAAGGAATATTGGAAATAACTATTCTTCCCAACCGCTAGTCCAGTTATCAGAGTTTTTGGAAAGCTAAAGATTTAGGTTGTTTTTGATTTTAAAACTTTTTTTTCTTTTTTTTTCTTTTTTTGCATTGCTTTGATATTTTTTAGTTTTATAGTAATTTAAAGTTATTAAACTTATTTTGATTTTTTTGTTTCACAATTTAACTTTAAGTCAGTTTCAATCACTTTGTGATAAATCCTTTCAATCTGATAAATTTGCTTCGGGGCAGTTGTAAACCATTTATAGAAACTCTTTGTTTTGAACTGTAAATAGACCGAAATAATAGGATAATCCCTTACTAAGAACATGATTTACATTCGTTCTTCACAATTAAGAGACATCAAATCCTACAATTTCATTGGTCGAGAGCACT